AAAAAAAAAACGAATTTATTAAAAGCTGCAGGAAAAGCATAGCGGTGGAAGTTATTTGATGAATGCGTGAACTACGTGTTTATTACTAAACCGCCTCTACCACTGCGTGCATTTAGTGGAATTTCCGGTGAGACGAACTGAACGAGAGAAGGAACGAGGCGGAAAAAATTGGCGAGGAAAACAGCGTGAAAATGAGTGAAGAGATGGGCATGAAGAAGTAAAACGGTCCAGGTGTCTAATAGTACCTTGCAGGTGAAAGCGGAAAAACTCATAAAAGTAATACAAAAACCAAACTCCACCAACACAAACGAATTTAATGAGAACATAACTGTGCTACCTCATATCGTTAATGTACTCTACAATAAATGCGTTTTTCAAAAGATTATTTTCAACACATGTATTTTTTTCTTTTCAGTAAAGGAAAGAGGGAGGAAGAGGAGAGCAAGGGAGCGGATTCAGTTCAAGTGTACCCATAATAGTGAGAAAACAGGACGCGAGTTTAGCTATATATGAATGGATGCGTTACAGTACACACTTTTAGACCTCAGCATGGCCAAATAATCAGTTTTTAAGGACACACAAATCGTGCAAAAGTGAGTTTCGTACAGAATGCGGTCAATTCAAAAAAAAACTAGCCAAAAAGTACAAATTTTATGTTTAATAAATAGCGGCGCACACCAGGCTAGCTGGTGCTACCCAGCGAACGCTTGTGCAGTACTGTTCGGCAGAAGCAACACTGCCTTACGCACTTCGATTAGTCTTTTCAACGCTTTGACTTCCCAAACTGTTTCCAAAAAAATTTGACAAGGCCAGAATGCCCAAGAGGAGGGGATCATGTAGCAGGGAGTGTTTGGATAATTTTGAAGGAACGATTAAAAAGTAAAAGTTAGACATAAAACTTGGAAAATGGAAGTAATAAAGTAAAATCAAGCAGCAACGCGCACAAAGGTTTCAGTGCGATCATCATTTCTATTCTCGAATCTTGCAGCAGTCGGATCGTTAAGTGTATGAATGATCGCTGTTTTGCAGTTTAACTTATGCATTCGTGCTGGCAATATTTTTGATCTTTTCATACATTTGGGTGGAAGAGCGGCATCAGCTAATAGCTAGGACGGGAGAATCATGCCAGCCGAGCGTGAATAGTATGGCAATAGAGCAGATGCACCGACTACGCGACTGAATCCACGAACAATGGCATGTTTTTTTCTCAAGTTGAATGGTCCTTATTCATCACCAGATTTCGTTGAATGAAGAATCTAGGACCCAGCGAACCTAAAAACAATTTTTGCGAGTCCGAGCAGCACTTTGTGCCAAGTAAATAGATTGAGGATTCGCTCGCAGATTGCACTTATTTCACTGAGTGCCCCACATTTTGCAAAAGTTGCTTTTATTAAAACAGTTCTTGAACATACAACAAAACAGAATCAGAATGAAACAGTTCTTAGAACAGTTTTTGAACACACAAAACAGAATTAGCAGTACAGTGTGGTGAAAAAGCGTCAGTCTCCAAGATATCACAGTGAAATTATTAGGATGACTTCTGCATCAGAGCTCTCAAATCATCGAAAAGTTGTTGTGAAAGCATGTGGATTGCACGCCTCGTAATGAACCGATGTTTTGAAAGAGCACCCAGATAGGGTTTTATTCAACTCCTCCAAAATCGAATCTGGAAGAGACGCGGCTGGTTCGGCACAATTGCTACTCCTGGGCAACATGGCTTGGAATTTTCGAATTTTTGAGTGAGAGATCGGACATTTCTGGGAAACTCGAAAGTTCCATTCCACACAAATTGGATGAAAATGAACTAGTCGCAGTTATGTGTGAAAAATACCAGCCACGGAGGTGTAATCTGGAAAGTTGCCAGTGGAAGTGCCGAAATTCTTTAATGCATTTCCGCGTTTTATAGTGCTGGGCTATTTCTTATCTCCGAGTTTTCCTGTTTCCTTCTCCACCAGCAGTTTCCGAACAGCATAGCGATGAGGGCTGCGCACTTTTTTCAATCCGGGTGCGAATTTATTTTCAAGATGCCAGCGAAAAACCGCACCCCAGAGACAGTTGAACTGTCCGGTAGCTTTAGTGTCACGTGCTGTCCCGGTCGGACAATAGCAGCGAATGCGCTTTTTTACATAATCAGCCAAGCAACAAATCACCAGAGGATAACCTCGCTCGGCTACACCTCGAAGAGCTCCCGGTGGTTCAATAATGCAAGCGCAGCTCGGCAGCAACTAAACCAGCAAATCGTCTCCGGTTCCTTCTAGCGCAAACACTGAAAAGTGAAGTACGCAGACTCTTTAAATACCACAAGCTACGCAAGTTTCACCGCAACAGTTATGCACATGTCCAGCTCGTTGCTTTCTAAATATGCAATGTTTTTATGCAAGCAAGTTACACTAAATTTCCCGAACAATCTCGCATATTCGGGCAGCAAAAGCTGAACATTTGCACGTCTGATGCGGTGAAATTTGCATTGCTTGGTATAAATAGAGAATTTTCGCCCTTCCTTTTTCAGTGTCTGCATTGAAACTAGCCCGAGGCCATTGGTTGGATTAAAGCTGCTGCGGATTGTCGACGTTGCTTTACCGAGAGTTTCCGGAACGTAGCCGGGTGAGCCCGTGAGCTGCTCATTCTTATCGAATGCTTTTTCTGGAAGTCGCATCCACTGCGATTACGAAGGATTGAACTCCGATGACGAAGATACGAAAACGACGGAAAGATGGAACACGGATAACGAGGGGAGAACAACGACGAAAGGAACACCGAAGAATGGAACACCGATGACGAGGGTAGAACAACGACCGAAGAATGGAAACCAATGACGGCGGCAGAACGACGACCGAAGAATGGAATCTCGACGGCAGGTGCTTGACACGAATGCGCGAGGCATTCTCATCTGGTTGACGTAGAGCGAAAATGACAAATTCCTGGAATTGTCCAACCCTCAGTTAAATAAAAATATGAAGATTTTGAATCATGATTGCTACACTTCACTGGCTTCTCAGTGAAGCTTGGGAAGCATCTACGCCATGGCGATGCGTCGTCGAGCAACTCAAAGACCGTTTATGCAGTTCCGTCACAGAAAAAGAAGCTAAAACAAAAGTAAATTGTCCAGTGCCAGAAAAATGCAGGCCAGAACTTTGGCCTTTCGATTAGTAATTCGAGGATGCCTCTGTGGAATGCTTTCTCTATGGGTGATAATTTAGCAGAGCTTGCTGCTGCTAATTCGTCGTTATCGAACTTACATGGAGCAGAAATAACAAAGCTTTCTGGAATTGTTCGAAATGTGCCTATCAGTCAGAAATTTGAAAATTTCGAAATATGCTCCTCAGCACTAGCACTTTCGATAAACTGGCATGGACGCCCTCAGACGCGATTTTCTCTGAAGCTGAGTGAAGTTCTCCGATGCCGTGTCATCGAGTTCTGGATGATTTGTTGATCCTGATGCAGAATTCATTCTAGTAATTTCAGAATAAAATACGCTCAAAAACCGATACTTTTTCACTTCACTGTACTGTTCATTCATTCCCATTGTTTTATCAGTTTGTCCGAGAAATAAAAATTCTGCCGCAAGGTCTGTAGCTCTTCTTGTTCTGGTCTGTTCAACAACTTCTCAAAATGAATGTGGCCCGTCCAGACCGGGAGAAAGGCACTGTACAGCTTTAGTCAGTTATGCCAGTTTGCATGAGAAAAAAGTGTTGAGATGAGCAGCCCTTCCAATCAATTCCTCTCTTAAGCCCTAACCCAAGCTGGTCTTACTGTGTTAATATGAACCAAACCGGAAATGCTAAAATTCCTGCTTTCAACTGCACGTGTGAAGCACAGCAATAAATCAAGTTTAGATCCAGTGGTTTCATATGCCTTCTGTGCTGCCCCAAAATCGAGAATGTAAAGTGATTGGCATAAATGTGTGTGCATGAGGCTACAGTATGTTGGAAAGACTACAACGGGTGACCAAAGAATAGGAGGCAGTGGTCACTGTTGTTAACAACTGCCCAGATGTTAGAGGATCTATTGATGTGAAAACAGAAACTCGGATTCTCTCTTTGCAAAAGGTGGCAAAGCCACAAAGGTTATTTCTAAAAACATGGTTATGACGGCTAGGCTAGAAATAAACATAAATACTTGACTTTTTCATGCAAGTGTATGGTTGCAATTCTACAGATGGGCTAAAAAATACCTCAGTTTTCTCGGTAAAAATGTAGACGAGAATTCTGTCATGTAGCGAAGCGATAAGCTAAAAACTGACACAATTATTGACACAATTATTTGCACTGCGAGGCTGTGTTTGTGTGTGTTCACAGGCTGAATGTTCATTCGGGAACAACAGTGAAACAATTTTTAAGGCAAATGTAGCAACAGAACGTTTTTTTTT